CTTGCTGAATGAGAGCCATGCAACTTTAATTATACGCTCTGAGGGCATTTGTACTTTCTTGGTTTGCGGGACTATGTATGCTGTTATCATTCATGCCGCTCCCCAACTTCTTGCCTCTTTGAAGAATGCGTGTTGTGTTTTTTTTTGCTTGGAAAATCTCGACAAGTGTCAACATTTGTGTTGTTTTTTTTTTTCCTGAGTATATATATATATACTGATAGATTTTGCAATGGCTTTCACTAGATCATGTTGGTTATGTGGTGCTCCTTTCCACGATAGACACCAGAAACATGGAGAAACTCAGCACTTCAGGTTCAATTTTTCAATGATTGACTTCACTAGCTCCAAAAAATCATGTGACCCCCTCGTCCTTAGCTCCTTAGGCCTTGGATTTCATTCCTTACTTTGAATAGGAGTGAGAAGATAACTTTAGCCTTTGATTTGCTCATCAGGCTGGCCACATTGGCTCTCCGAGGCAAACAAAATTCAGTTGACTTGAAATCGTCGTTGATGCAATAGAGCGTGATTCAAAGTGCTGGCTGCAAACTGAATGTCTTCAAGATTGAAACATGTCAGACTGTGCGACACGTTTACCTGCTGACAGAGGGCGGTGTCAATTGAAAGAGCTCAATTGGCAATTTCTTTACATTGCAACCTGGCCAGGTCAAACCCTGCAGGGGTTGGTTGCCTAAATTTTGGAAATTGTGCTATGCAGTGCTATGCAGTGGTTGTTCTCGACACATGGCCTCCAACCTAGAAGCGATGGCCTCCAACCTAAAGTCTTGGATGGTGTATCTTTAGACATCTCCAAGATCTTCTCGACACATTCTCGTCCCAGGCAGGTGGTTTGGCGACACTCTGCCCGAGTGTTGCGGAGGCGAATCGTTGTCATTCTGTCGTCAGTCTGATCTCATGTTCACTGTTTGGCAAGGCGATGCTGCAGAAACTCTTCGAGTGGAACGAGCCCTAACTTTAACCCTAACTGTGAAGTACCACACTGAAACATACATGTTGCTGGAGCAAACAGTCGGCGTGGTCGGGCCGTTCCTTTTTTGATTGAAGCCTATCAGGCTGCAGTTTCTTTTCCTGCCTCCCTCGGGGCTGATTTGTCGGCCTTTGGCCCAGTAGAACATGGACTCGACATGGACTCGTCAAGCAACAGAAACTCACATGACTTGTTACAAGTAACAAGGGCATCGATCCTAGTAACAAGGGCATTACCGTAGCTAGGACGCTACTAGGGGCTCCTGGCATCGCTTCTAGGAGCAAGGACGGCTCCTGGCCTTACTACTAGTAGCTGCTTGATACTAGTAGCTTCTTGCTACTAGTAGCGATGCACCTGTTACTAGTAGCTTCTCGCGAGACCTCGTGAGGCTTGCCTCCACAGTGTCTGTGTCAAATCCGAACCTTCTCAAACGAGTGGTGCCACAAGCTCAGCCCATAACATGGAGTCCATGGAGTGGAATTCGTTTTTGAACGGGGAAAAGGCTGGGAACCCTGAGGAGATGTGAGCGTGCGCTCTTTTCGGTGCCCGATGTGTGTAGCAGTACATTTGCTCGCAAATACAATGTGCTGGAGTGTCGGCCTCAGTGCGACTTCAATGGATCGATATTTTAAAGGGACTTCAAATGACTCAAATGCGCTCATGAAGTCTTCATGACACAATTGGAGGCACTATGTCCGAAGGCACTTTCTGGCTTTTGTAGCCTTGCAGCTGCCTGAAAAGCTACTCATAGAGTGCCTGTGTGTTTGATTATCAAGCACATCTGTGCTTTGGGAGTTGCAGCCATGGTTAAGGTACAATAACCGACATGCGGAGACCGCAAATGAAGCGCAGCAGGCCTCTTAGTTCTTGGCTTCTCGCCTTCCAAAGGAACGCATTCAAACAGACGAGGTTGTGACACATTGCGACACCCAGCCCCGCCTTTTTGTTGATTGGCATTAAATGTGCGCAAACATGTCAAACACATCAAACTTCAGAGTGCAAGAAAAGGCATGACAAGGTCTGGCAAGGAAGCCATCGCTATTAGGTTGGAGGCCATCGCTAGTAGGTTGGAGGCCATCCCTATTAATTAGGTTCCTTTTGCTTCTAGGATTTTAGGTTGAAGGCCATGTGGAGACTTCCAGAGATCAGTGCCATTTGGTCCAAACCAAGGTGCAACGCCGCGTGCCAACTGCATGTGGAGACGTTGAGCTGCTCTCAGGTTTCGTCGAGAGGAAACTACAGAAGCGTGTGGCAAAGCTACAGAAACTGCGGGGAGATCTTGGCGCGAAGTGAACAAGAAGGACGCTACTAGGGTCTTCTGGCATCGCTACTAGGAGCAAGGACGCTACTAGGAGACGTAGTTAGTGAGAGGGAACGGGTTTCCTAAGGCTTGCAATGGCCAGCATCCGGATGGACGATCATCTGCCGCCACAGCCTCAGGGAAGCTTGCAATATTTTGCAATTGAAGGTCTGTCGTCCAAGATTCGCAACATGAGATACCGCTCGGTCGCCGCTCGGTTTACTCATATGCCGCTCATATTACTCACGTTTGATCAGTGTACTCCGTCTCCTTTGGGTTGGATGAATTGATCCAGGCGACGTGCTTTTCTTCAACAGTCCGTGCTGGACTTCTTTGTGGGTGAGGCTGCTGGACTTGAAGCTCTCAAGTCGGACATTCCGAGCGTTTTGTTGGCAGTTGGGAGCAAGCAAGCACAATTGTGGAAGAGGTCATTAACAATGTTGAAGAAATGACCATCCCTGGTGATTTTTGTGGGAACGCTTTTGCTGACACGACCGGGCACGACCGGGCACCATATTTTTGCGCCTCAGAGTTCGGAGCGGTCGTGCCGATGTCTCACGATGAAAGCTTCGCAGATCGAACTGGAGCACGTCACTCATCAGATGCATTTGAATTTCATGCGGCGCTCGGGCCTCGCTGGGACGCCTCTCAAGCACACCGCTTTCGCTTGGACCGACGGTGAGGAGTCTGAGTCTTCGGTTCTGAGGTCAGAACAAAAGTGCTGCCAATCAGTTGCGACCTCGAAGATGCGAATGGTGCGTTGTAGACACCACTGATTGGACAAGGTCACCCCGATTGAAGCCGCTGGCGGTGACGTTCTCAGCACAAGTCTGAGTCCCCTGAAACTTGGAATATGTGTGGAAGATGTAGATGCTTCTTGAAAGATGTGCGAAAGAAGTGGACAGAGAGGACAAAAGTACTTGACATCCATGTTTCTTTGACCTTTGGCCTGAGCTTGCAGCAAGCGTGAAACTGCTCAGTGCTTTTCCACGTGAGAGAAACTCGCCATGTTCTGCTGTAGCAAGGCACGGGTCGAGGAACCGAAAACCGGTTGTCAGCAGTTTTGCGTTGAACATGGTTTGACCCAACGGAGTAGGCCAGAGTAGTGCCATTGCTCTTAGGTTGGAGGCCATTGCTATTGTTACTAGTAGCGTGGCACTTGTTTCTAATAGCAAACATTGTTTCTACTAGTAAGGCACCTGTTACTACTAGCGTGGCACCTGTTACTACTAGCGATGGCAGCCAGTATGGCAGAAAACTCAAACCTCTGTCGACTCAAACTTCTCGGATCTGACGGATCCGCGCGATCCTTGAGGAGCCCCTACGCCGCGAGGAGGTGCCACACAGAGGCGGGAGAATGACATGTCTGTCAGCGTCAATGAGCAGTCTGTCTAGATCGAATTGATTGCGTCAAGCAGAAACCTTGGATTGTTTGGTTGATCCGGCAGGCAAGCCTGGCAAGCCGCAGAAGGCTCAAGACTGGGGTACCGGAGCGCCTCTTGGATCACTTCTGAAATGGTCTCATGGAAAGGGGGGAAGTAAGTATGCGTCATGCGTGTTGATATCACAAAAAGAACAAAGGGTCCCAGGGAAGAAGGACAACAACAAAGTACGGAACATGTACATGCACTTATTGCTAGTAATTATCACCCATTCTCTTTTGCAAAAGGGCATCGCTACTAGGAGCAAGGACGCTACTAGGGGCTCCTGGCCTTACTACTAGGAACAAGAACGCGTTGACCACTCCCAACAGAAAAAGAAGCTATTAGAAACAAGTGCCACGCTAGTAGTAACAGGTGCCTTACTAGTAGTAACAAGAAGCTATTAGAATTCAATTAAAATAGCTTCTTGTTACTACTAGTAAGGCACCTTTTACTAATAGCTTCTTGCTGATCTTCACCGAGGAGTGGTCAGCGCCTTGGGGGACAGGAAGGCGACCGGAGGCGCTTGGCACTTGAAGCCATCGAGCGACGGGAGGTGAAGGGCATCTTCAAGGTGACTCGATCGAAAGCACGACACAATCAGTCAGCCTTTCTGAGGAATCTTTGAGTAACATATCTTTAACGGAGCACTTTGGACGTCAGGTCTTTTCAGAGTATGTAACTAACATACAGGTTTTTGTTCCTCTTTGTTTCTTGACATACCATTTTTCCGTGCTGTTTTCTCGAAGCATGCTTAGCGCGAGGGACGCATCACCGAGCAGTACAGAAGGCCAGGTCTGAGAGGATTCTCGTGGATTTTGTTCTTTCTTTTTGAGAATTGACGGAAGACACTCATGAAGAAGATGCAATTGAAGAGACATCTCGCAGCTGTCAGCATACTAAATGGGGTAGCATCAGGACATCTTAGAATCACAGGTACCCGTGTGAAGTCTGCCCTCAGGATCGGTGAGGATATGCCCATGGGTTTGAAGCTTGCATCTCTGGAGCAGCTCAAGAAGCACCTTGCCCTATTGAGAGATCGAAAACCTCAGTAGACTGCGCTGAACTTAGCCACTCGTGCTATCTCGTGCCTGTGCAGAAGTCCCAGCTCCGAGCGCAAGGTATATTTTGTGTACAGACATGCTACACATACAGAGGTTTTGAGAGCTGCATACAGATAGCAGCTCGATACCTGTGGCTGCAGTTAACTGCTGTAAAGAGTTCAGAGTTTGCAGAGCTCAAATAGCTCAGCTCAGAAAAGAGATTGGAGAAAGCTCCGGCCTTTCAAGACCTTTCTCATCCTTTCTCTTTGGCGTGAGCCGTACTTGTTTGACGAATGTCCGTTTGGTGTGAGACTTCTTGATGTGAGGCAGAGCCAAAGTTGCCTGCGCCAGCGGCAGTGCCTGCGCCAGTGGTTGCTCCTTCCTCAGGATGTGTCACCGCTTTGAACAAGTTCAGAAGCTGTTTTCGTTTTCCGTAGATTTTTAGACCATTCTTTCGTTCTCAGAAAAACCATCCTCGCTTTCAGGAGTCTTTTTTGGAGTAGGTTGGAGGCCATTGCTACTACTAGTAGCAAGAAGCTACTAGGCTGGAGGCCATCGCTATTAGGTTGGAGGCCCTTCCCCTTAGGTTCCTTTTGCTAGTAACAAGAAGCTACTAGGGGCCCTGGCATCGCTACTAGGAGCAAGGACGCTACTAGGGGCTCCTGGCCGTACTACTAGTAACAAGAAGCTACTACAGGCTCCTTTTTGGTTTTTTGAAAAGCCTTTGGGACCAAGGCACCTGACAAAATGAAGCCGGTCGGCAAAGCACGGCCGGTGCCATCGCCAAGGGCTCAGCAGATTCAGCAGAGTGTCATTCTCTGAGCCAAAGCTTAAAGCAAAAAAATGACACTCTGCTCAGTTTCTTCTAAGCTTTGGCTTTGGCTCGGACACCAGGAAAAACACCAAAGTCTTCTTTTCTGTCTCGACTCGACTAAAGAAACGACTCAGACTTCGTCTTCGAAGGCTTTCTTTCACGGGACTTCCAGCTTCTCTTCAAGGAGAGAGCTTTCGCTCTCGGTCAGGCTTTGCGGGTCTTGGACGACGGCGAAGTTGAAGTCCGACAATTTGATGCGTTTCGATGACCACTTTTTTCAAGGGACACACGTCGACCCACCGTTTTTATTTTCAAGCCGGGTGGGCTGTGAAAACGAAAGCGGGTTCCAGGCTACTAAATCTTGGAAGCTACTAGAAAGGACGCGGTAGAGCGAAGGTTCATAGATTAACAGAGAAACTAACCCTTAAACTTAAACCTATGTACCTTTCTTGGCCCGTTTTGGCCTTTGATTTTGGCCCTACCGTAGCTTGCACATCCTTGCACCATAAACAAGAGCTTATTTAGCGCATGGGACCCGAGGCCAAAGCGTAATTGCAAAACATCGACATACACAAGAGATTCACATGGCAATTATGGAATTGCTTCCATCATGTTGAACATGTCCTCAACTCACTGTGATGCAAGACAAACATGCTTGCTTTGACAGTGATGCTGCAAACACTTGATTTCATGGAAAGTGCCTAGCACCTTTGGTGCTTGCGAAAAAACACGGCTTCGGCTTCAACTCACCTAGAACACCGCAGTCTTTTAGACACTGCAAGACGCCCAATTCCCATCAACATCCATCAACTAGATCCTTGAGAGATCTGGAGATCCTGGACCGAGAGGGATCGGCTTCACTCATGGCGAGTTCCTGTTGAATGGCTGCTGAGGCAGGTTCCCTGCAATTAATCGCCGTCACCTGCATGGCTTTGCCGTTGCTTCTGTGAGGCTCATGGCTTTCCTCCATGTTCGCAGCCTCAACACAGGAGACATTGTTGGTTGGCACCCGAGACCGAAAGAGACCGAACACGAGGCAGGTGAGGTGAACTTTTTGTTTGGGCGAAGCGTGCTTGAAAGTCTTCACAGACTAGGCTTCGTTTCTTTGTACTTTTTGGAGGGGGTAGGCCACTATAGGCTTAAGTAGCTACCATATACAAAAAGCTTAAGAATCTACTACCGATCGGACGTAGGAAAGCCTGAGCCTGAGCCTTCAATATTTTTTGGGTTCTTAGATTTTTATCGGGGAAACAGATTACAACAATGTGTATCGACATGCTTCTTGTTTGCTAGTAGGTTGGAGGCCATCGCTATTGCTACTAGTAGCGTGGCACTTAGCAAACATTGTTTCTACTAGTAAGGCACCTGTTACTACTAGCGTGGCACCTGTTACTACT